GCCACGCCTGTGCCGGGGGGCAATGGCTAGCTGCGCGGGGAACTGCAGGCAAAGTTGGGGCAACGGGATATTTGGCATTGTTTTTTCCACAGGTGCCTAGATCCCATAGGCATCCAGTGGAAATGGAGCCCCTTAGGTCACTTGTAAAAAACCTCCTCCACTCAAGACTTTTATGCCTCCAAAATCAAAGGTGCGTTGGCCAGTGTTGTGTCCGAAAGCTGCAAAATGGGCACAGAGTCCAGATCTGAACATCAAGGCACAGTGAGGGTTAGAGCGGTGGGGAAGCCCTGCTCATTCAAGGTTAATAAACAAGCTGGATTAGGATCTCCACTTCAAAAGGGCAGGTGATGGCAGAGGCAGAAGTTTGGTTCGAGTCCATCTTCAGTCACCGCAGAAACTTTCTCAGAGGAGCCTCTGACTTGTCAAAGTTGCAGACAGATCCGTCCAACTGACAGCTGGTTGCTTTTGGTGATCTTGCTAGCCAGCTCCTAATTATTTTCGTTTAAACAAAGAACTTTGCTTCTTCCTGGCTCATCTGCTCTTCTTACTTTTTAATTGCAGAGAAGTAAAAATAAAGCAGGCTTTGACAATAACATTGTTTCACAGGACAAACTACAGCAGGGATAAAAGCCATCCCATACTCTTCTGGTCCTGCAAATCCAAGATCAGAAGGTAACTACCCTGACGGCGCACCTCTCTAGTCCCTTAGCTATCAGCAGGGGCTCAGGAAAGAACTCCTCTCAGCCCTGAAGAGTAGGTTGTAGATTCTGCCTGTCATTCTCCATGGAGGAAGGAAGAGGCACCTATATATAATAATAAACCTGGATTGTGAGCAGCAGTGCACACATGTACAGAAACTGTACTCATGAGTATCTCCAATCAAAGTAGCTGGGATTCTTCCACAAAATAATAGACATGCTGGAACTGCTCACCTAGCTAAGGACCCAGCAGTGGCTGTAGGTCCTTTGCTGCTGTTCTAGCATAGACAGAGGGGACAGGCCTGACATGGACAGGTTTCTGGCTGCTAAACATGTGAATCCTTACCCTGACAGTGCCATGAAAGTGTTTTGCTAGGTAATACGGCAGGCAACAAAGTCCAGACCTAGCTAATACTTGGAACTGAACTGGTGTAAATAGAAGTGGACTATTTTCAGAATACGATTTTTCAAAACAGAGTTTAGTCAGCAGTAACTTCCCCTGACTCCCAACAGGCTACCGAGACATGCAGGTGGAGGATACCAAAGAATCAAATAGCTAAAACATTGGGATGGGGGCAACTGAGTGAGCTGATTCCAAATAGAAGAGACGTGTTTGATCATTAAGCACACTGCAAAGGAATCTTCAAGTCTTTGACTCACTCTCCTCCCCTTTTCTATAAATAGTTTCCCTTTCCAAGCCAGAAGCAAGACTAAAACTCTTGCGGTGAGGTCCACCTGAGCGGCTACATCATGTTGTACTGGGAAGGCAGGAGAAGAAAAACAGTGATTCCTCACTTGAAGCAGCACTCTGAAGTCCAGAAATTCAGTGCTCCGTTGGCACACAAGCCTGCTCTCAAGTTGTGGAGGAGTCTCCTGTCTTGGCAAGGAGCCCATTACAAGGGTAAATCTCATGTTGGGGCTGATCCAGTGCTTGCTAAAGACAGGAGGAACATTTCCACTAGTGTCTAGGAGCCCTGAATGAGGCTTTTCCTTTCCACATAAGAGGTAAATGACTTCTTTCCTCCAAAATCCACCACTGCTCCTGCTCCACTGGCAATGAGAGGACAGAATCAAATGGATGCTGTTTTTCTGTTTTATATAAAGCATCACCTGACCCTGTTCAACATAAGATGAGATGAGATCATGGTAAAAGCATCAGGAACTTTCCAAAGTTCTCCCCATTGCTGCACTTGTACAGCTGCACCAATAGGAGCCACAGAAGGAAGATGAGGAGATGGGTTCCCACCGATCAGATGACATGAAGGATACAAAATCTGATATTTCCTTATAAAAAGGCATGTCCCCAGAGGAGAAGTAGAAGCCTTAGGTATAAGATACAAATGTTTGTATGGCTGTAAACAGTTAGAAAGGGATCAGAGACTTCACATACAATGCTGCTTTATCGTCTTGCAGAGGCTTCCATCATCACCATATCTGAGTTCCTCTGTATTTTCTCTTGGGTACTTTTTGGCACTGTGTTCTGCCTAGTTTCAAATTAAGCAATGATTCTTTTGCCTTTTATTTTGGGACTCTATTCCACAATTAATCCTAGCCAGCTTTTTCAAACCAGAAGTTCACATGTCAGGAAAAATGACATAATTGTTTTTCTTTACAGTTTTCACAACATGTTCATAATTTCAGTAGAAGCAGTTTGTGTTTTTCATTTACCCAAACCGCATTTTTATAAAGTATTTATTAAACTTTTATAGCCTAACTAATTATGAGAATCCCAAAAAGTGTTGAAATTCTTAAACTTATTCCTTATTTACTGAGCAGCAGTACCTTCAAAATTTAATCTTATTTCGATGGCAGAGGCAGCCATCTTATCTTCACGTCTGCCTGTAAAGCACCAAGGTCAGGTAACTTTAACAAGTAATAGCTAAAGTTTCATGCCTGGAAAACTTTTGGTGGTATTCAGCCTTAATTTTAAATTTCAACATCCTGTTCTACTTGTGTGCTTTCTACAATCCAAAATAATCTCTTGTTTTGGCACTTACATGAACTGCACACACAAACACCATGCACAGATGATTATATCAATAATCTAGGCCATACTTAGCTGTGTTTTCTTAAAGAAATTTAAAAAACCCCTTTCTTTATAGAATTTGTTTTCTTCTTCATAAAGAAAAAATAATGTCTACTTGGAAAAAATATACCGTTCACTAAAGCTTTCTATTGAAATGACACAAAATAATTATTATACTATTAATTTTCAGAGGATTCTTTTTAAACAGCTGCAAAGCAATTTCTTAAGTTCAGTGGATTTACTTTAAGTAAGGTGATACAATTCACCACTCCATTTCATGGCTTCACTGGGACCATAAAACCAGTGTCTCTGCCTCCAATACTCCTTCAGAAATAGAATGGAAATACTTTACTTGCTTATTTTGAAGATAAATATATGTTTGTGTTTCAGGAGCTGATGTCAGACAAGAGTCTCTGCCAAAATGCTCATCCCCTTTGTTAAAATGTTCCTCGCTCATGTGCTAGAAAAGTGTCCAGAAATGAAAAGATCATTCCCCCAGAGTTGCAATTCTCATTAGTATTTGAGTACAGTATATTCACATAACAAGAAGCTTAATATTCACATTTTAGAGGACATTTCATGCTTTGCAGAGTACGTTGCAGGGAGTGCTTGCTCACTGTTGAAATATGGTTCTCTCTCTAGTGGATGCCATCAGATTCGTAGATTACACATTACAAGTCATTCAGGGAACACATTGCCACAATATACCATTGGTCAAAAATAGATCAGTCTCTGATATGACTAATAAGAACATTCTTAATGTACATGAGGGAGGAAATAAAATTAGTGTTGATTCCCATGCCTCAGAAGATCAGTCCAGCATAAATCAGGTCAGGAAAGAAAAATCTTCCTCTAATGAACAGCTATGGAGTTCTTTCAACCTTCACCTATACTGGCCATGGCTAGAAATAAAGTAGAGACACAAACAACTGGTCTCAGCTAGGTTCATGGTGAAGAACAGAAAGACGAGAGTCAGAAATTAATGGAAAAATTGAATAATAATTTTTCCCAATATAATCTCATGTCATATTTTGTCATGTAAACAATGTCAGCTTAAATCGAATTTGTAGTCAGAAGGACTAATCGGACAGATTTAACCCAGGCTTGAGATGACCATTTGATTATGACAAGGAGACTATTATTTAAAACAGAGGAGATGGGGAACTGTAAAGTGAGGAGCTGGTTGTGGGCATGTAGGGTTAGTAGTCTTTCAGTGATCATCTAGGGAACAGTATCACGTAAGGTTTGCAAAAATAATGTCTAAAAGAAGTAGACGAAAGCATGTACGTTGAAATTATGTGACCTTATCAAGTTAGCATAAGATTGGGATAACATGTAGGAAAAACTGAGGATCAAGTAGCAGAAGTGGAGCAGAACTTAGTAAAGCTAAGTCGTGTACTTGGGGATTGGTAAGAATTTCTTTGATGCACTAGGAACTGGACCGCAAATGAGAAAGAAGGGAAAACGTCCAAGTATATTATTTAATTATAAACTGATGTATAACCACAGGTGAAAATATCATGAAAAAGGACAAGATAATTCTGGGATATACCAGGCAACGTATTTCTTGTTAAATCTGGGAATTACCATGAGTATTTCCCAGGTATCAGTCTATAATTCCAGTCACACACAATCAAAATTTAAACTGGAACCAATGCAGAGAAGGGTTACTAAGGTGAACAGGGAAGTGGAGACACTACTTTACTAGAGGAGACTAACAGAGTTTGGCTTCTTTAGCTTAGCAAAGTGAAAGCTGAGACACCAGATAATTGCTTTTTATACGGAGTCAGGAAGCAAGCGCTGGAGAAGAAAACGCTATTTAAACTTAAAGTTGGCACAGGAACAAATGGGCATAAACTAGCTATTGAAACAATTTAGCCTGGAAATCCTAAGGAGGATGCAAGTCGTTGGAAGAGTTCATTGTGGAACACCTTTCCAAAAGACATTCTTGGCTCTTGGTCCAAGATAGCTTTAGATAATGCTTGTTCAGACTGACAAAAGATTATGTGATGCTGGGCCTATGACAGCAGCAAGGTGTCCACTTCAGCCCTATCTTATTAATTAGTGAAAGCAAGAATACTAGAGCAGACTCACCGAAGGAGGGCCTTATAGCATCTTTAGTGTTCACATAGTGACAGAAGATGTCAACCCCTAAAAGCTCATGAAACTGCTGAATGGATGCTACCAGTTTACCTGCTATGGACCTGCATGCTCGAACAGATTACGGTGCTGTTGTACCATACATGGATTTTTACCATCTTTACTTTCCTTTGCAGATGTTTGCGAGGCTTTAAATGTGACAGTCTCTCCGGGACCAACAGTGCGATACTCCGAGGGAGATAATGCTACCCTTTACTGCCACATTTCTCAAAAGAGAAAGATAGACAATTTGCTGGCTGTGCGGTGGGTCTTCGCTGCATCACCTACCCAGGAGTATCTGATGATCAAGATGACAAAGTTTGGGTCTGTCCAGTATTATGGAAATTATACTCATCATTTCCACAAGCAAAGACTTCATCTTCTTAAAGAGAAACATGGAACTATGTACAAATTTCTTATTCTAAGCCTCCAGAAAACAGATCAAGGACATTATATATGCAAAGTCCAGGAAATTGGCAAACACAGGAATAAGTGGACAGCATGGTCAAATGGCACAGCAGCTACTGAAATAAGAGGTGAGAAAACACTGGTTTCAATTCTATCATTTTTCTTGTCCCATGATCCCTTCTTTACTTTCTGGCAAGTTTATCCAGAAGACACCTGAAGTTATTTTTAAGTGTTATCTGTGGATGTGAGAAGAAAATCTAATACTCCTTCTTTACTTACACATTACAATTTAAACATTATTCAGCCCATAATAAAATGTAAAGAAGTGAGAAGATTGGTAGATCTGTAGAAGATAGTCTACTTCCTTTGTCTTTTACCAGAGTATTGGTAATTAAAGCTCCTTTACATTCAGCTACAGGTCTCTACAAATTTGATAGTGAGAATAAAGAAATATCATTATTATGTAAATACAAACAGACAGAAACGGAGAGAAAGTCACTTATTTTCTGAAGACTAGGCAGTGGGTCAGCCAGAAATGGAAGCTTTGTATTTTAGATCTCTGTTTTGTTTCTCTCTTGGTATTTTCATCGCTTTTAGTTCTAGTCCAGCAGCAGCTGGGAAGCAGCATTTCTAGTATCAGTTCTGTACTTTTGTTTATAACCCTTGTACCCAGAAAGCAGAGCTAGAAAAACAGTGACCAGCCTGTTGGTATTGAACTTCAGATAAAGAAATGACCAGCAATGAGTGAGGGTTTTGGACCATAGATCTCAAGTTGCAAACGGGCCTTTTCGTTGGGATGGATCAGCTCAAATCTAACACCACCACACCCATACTTTCAGAGGTGGGTGAAACTGGATTTTAGAGAATAGACTCATGTGAAGAGGTGGTTGAGCTCAGCAGTTGTGCCGTTAGCGCTAGCTGGCAAACTAGCCCCTTGCTTGTGGCTTTATAAACAGAAATGTTGATATTCCACAGGGCCATCTCTAAAGAGAATGCCAAAAATCAAGGGTGACTGCTTGGTCCATGGGTCTGGAAATTCAAGAGGCTCATCCAGCAATCACAGAAAAACTTGTGGAAGGAAAGTGTACTTCATGAAGTTTCTGCCATTGTTGTTCATGTAAAATTTATTGTTATGTGTAGACTCCGAAGGTTATTCCTGTAGCTAGGAAAGCCTAATCCCATGTATCTACCTTATGTTTTGGCGAAAGTAGCCCTAGCTTTCCTCTGAAGTGAATTTTGCTCTGAGGGAACTCCATTGACTACAGGCCTTTTCAAGATGGATTTGAACATGTTTCTGTACTCTTAATTCAAAGCACATTCCCTCAACGCCAGCTTCACTGGTGTCGTTTAGGTTTCCATACTACTTTTGCATTATAAACACACCAGGGAAAGAAATGTGACAGTAAAAAATAATCTCTGTGAGTGTATGATCACCTGTGGATAGCTCTCAGGTATTACAAGCTTTCACTTTCATTTATCAGAAGTATGAGAACAAAGATAAAAATACAATATGACAAGAGATAAAAACCAGCTTCATGTTGACTAGCCCAGTTTAAATCTGCCTTGAGAAATCATCATATAATTAGCTGAATATTACTAGCAATGATGAAAGACACTAATGATCCAAAGCTGAAGTTCTGTTTGGATTAGTAACAAAGACCACAGATCAATTTTAAACAACAGCAAGAAAATTCTAGTCTAAACTATTTGGTCTTACTGAGCACACAAAACTTGTCTGGAAAGTCTCTAAGACATTCATATGTAATTTCCTCTGTTTCCTCTTGGCAGACAGTCAGAAATATAAACAATGACAGAGCAGGACCTAAGTCCAAACTGGAACACCAACCCCTCACCTGTCTCCACCAGGGAAAAACCCAGCCCTGAGCACCCAGACCCCAGCTGTGTGCATCAGCCATGCTTCTTTTGCACAGAAGACCATGGAAGCAGGACTTAAGGGAAAACTTCAAAGTTCATTAGACTCCTAAACATAAATCATCAGAGCAGTCAGTACCATGGGTCAGAATTATAATCCTGCAGCCAAATGTCATCTGTAATCCATAACCTGGTATCCTAAAGAAACTGAAGCCTATGTGATCACACTATCAACTAGTCTGCACTCTTCTGAATCCATTAATTTTTTTATGATTTTAATGAGACAAGGGTCTTAAAGATATTAAGGTTGTACAAGTAATGTGAAATTGGCTGGGGGGAGGGAGAGAAAATCTGCATGAACTTCCTCACTGAAGGGAAGCTGCAAGAACAAAGAAGGTAATTATTGTTCTTGCGCTGCCAATGTGCCCAGTGATCTTCCACGTCACAGTCAGTAACTGGGGCTCCTGGACATACCATAGGAGAAGGAGGCCAGTACTGAGGCTGTTGTGGAGAGGGGAGCCATTAGGGTATGTGACACAGTATTCATTAGGTTCACAGCTCAAAGTTTCTTGTTTGATTTTTGGTGCTGTTTTCATTCTTTGGTTTTTAAGCGGGGAGGAGTAAAAACACTGGAGTCCAACATCTCCTGAACTCAGCCATCTTAACCTCTGGAGGGCATTAAGTTTTACAAGCACCGACCCCATGTTGGGTGGCTGGAGCCAAGACACAGTGGTTAGTCTTGTAACCACAGAGGAATATGAAATGAAACTTTATTGCATCATGATTTAGCCCTACAGACTTTAGGCATTAGCTTGCTTCATGCTCAGCATTCATTCTTCCCTGCTGCTCCTGCACTTGGCTAGAAACTGGCTCTCCTCTTCCCCTCCCTATCTTTTCCTCCTTCATACTTCTAGATTTGGCTGAAAGGAGAGATTCAGCCACTGTCAAGAAGGAACTGGCAAGCAGGAGGACTGATCAGCCTCCCACCTTTGGGAAGGGGTGAAGCAGGCGACTGGTGTGGGGAAGGGAAACCAGGGCTCTCGTCCCAGCCTACAGAGAACAAGCCATTCAAAGGCTGTGCTGGGGGACAAGGGGAGGAGAAGTGTTAGCTACCAGGCGTTGTTACTTCTGACAGCGCCTCGAACGGATGGCCAGGGCTGAAGCTTGCAGGCCTACAAGCAGGGCTAGGAGGCCACCATACAACCCCAGAGACTCCTAGAGGATAGACTACACCTTTTTCCTCTTTCCACTACACCCTCCTTCTTCCAGAGGAAGAAATTCTGAGGATAACTTGAGGGAAGGGAGCTAGAGGGGGCCACATTTGGTGTCAAGAGACAGAGAGAAGCAGTGAAGGAGGAAAGTACTGTTTCAGCTGGAGGCTTACACTATACTGACCCTTCCCCTCAGATCCTCTGTGCCAGACCAGGTAGTAGTACAAGTAGTACTACTCCAAGAGTAGTACATTGAAAGATACAGTGGATAACAGGTAATGTGTTTCTTGCATAAAGAACTTACAAAATAGACCGATAGATGTACCCAGGGAATGCAGAACAAGTAGCAGGCAGCGGGTGGGAGCAAGAAAAGAAAAAAGAACGAAAGAAAAAGAGAAAATCAGATGGAGAATAATTTTTAGGATTTTCCTGTGATAATGTAATTTCATAGGGCAGGTCAGCAGTTTAGAGTGTTTTCTTATTCACCGAATGATGCAATTTCTTAAATGCCTATAGTGAAACATATGGATTTGTCAGGAGTGCTTGGGAAGGGAATGACATGCTCCGGGTAAATGGCAGCAGAAGAAAAAGCTATATAAATCATGTCAGACCACCTGTCACCCTCCTCCCAGCCCCCCCAAAAAAAGCCACTCTGCATCTGTTATAGCCGCTCAGGCTAGTGCTAACTATAACACAAAAACCTCTCATTGCTCTTCCTAGCTGAAGCGTGGGGTTCCGACCAATTTAGTTATTGCAAAAAAGCAAGACTGTAACTCTTCACTCCAGTCCTTAAATACTACTTTCCCCCCCGCCCTGGTTTTTAGCGTGATTTATGAACGCACACTCAGGGTGGGGATTTGAGACTTGTGACTTCATGGTCCTCACAATGTCTGGCCCGCTGCATTGCTTCTCCCTGCATCAAGCGTCACCCAAAGCAGCGCAGGAAGCCGGAGACCCGGGAGGAAGGCAGCCCCACCTGCACAGCGGACTCACAGACACGATGCCCTGTGGGCATCTGAAGCAGACACCACCCCCCGGCCCTCCCCAAAAGAATATTTATTCTAATTCTGATGCAGATTAAAGATACTAAAAGACACCTGAAAAATCACATCTTTCAGTGCCACAGCAACTAAAAAAACTACTGCTAAAAGCCTCTTTACTGGAAACAAAGGATGACCTTAGCTAGCGTTCGGTTAACGTACTGCGCGTGTTCGGGACTCGCTACACACGCGAGGGAAAGCGACTCTTTCCACAGTGGTGATAAAGTTTTCCCAATGGTTACACTTGGGCTTTTCAAGGAAATTTTCTTCCAAACACATTTTGTATTTTATATTATGATCGGTTACACTTTGTATTGCAAAGGGATTTACTCATATTACGGTTAGATCCAGGATGCAACAAAAAGAACGGTACAAATTGCCCAAAGCATTTGGATACTGAAATTGTACCGCTTGTGCTTTATCAAATAAGGTAATGGTGTTCAAAAACATCACAGTTGCTGTCTTGTATAACATTTCATTTCGGTTAATATGTCTGCAGTTATGCCCAAATTCAAAATAGTATCTTTATGCTATAGCATCAGGTAAATTTCTTACAACTTTGTACAGCACGTGGATGCAGAAATAGCACTTAGGTCCCTTTCTTTGTTCACATGGGAAGAGGAGGTCACTGTGTAAGACAGAAATTTCCAGAGGGAATGGAAAAGGGTCATTCTGCTGCTTCAAAATCTGACTTGCTCTTGAAGCAGAAAGAACCTTGGGGCAGTGCAGACATCGCCGTTGTCAGCCACCAAGCATAGCACTACTCAAAGCAAAAGACCTTATTAGATTACGTCTGGGTCTGTAGTATCTACTGACATTAATTTATGTTCAGATTCTGTTATTTGCTAGCAAGTTTGCAGGTGTGAATTTCTGTAGGCCATTACAAAGTTGCAAATGCATTTTCTTGCAACACAAATGTATACAGCTACACATATTGGTGTTGTGGAACAAAAAAATTGAGTTATAGGTTGCAATGCCTTAATGTGTAATGATGGCAGTTAAAAGTTTAGCTACATCTGTGGTTTCTTCTTTAGGGACAGAATGTGTTTCTTCAGAAATAGGAGCCTCATCTGACGGGAATGGAGGCCTTACAGTCTTCCATTCAGGGACTCATGTGTCAACTACAGCAACTTTGTAGTTTTTTCACAAGGACCAAGTTGAAATTTGAACTGTTGCAGGTTGCCCTTTTAGGTGTGGTGAATGCGAGACAAGAAGCAGGATTTACAAAAAGGCTACTGTTAAAGCTCAATAGTAAAACAAAGAGAAACCCATGTCCTGATGTTGCCAAGAAGTGACTCCTACTCCAACCACGTAATGTCTTCCCTTTAAGCTAAGGTGAACCTTTTCCCCTTCCCTCATCTTTTTATCAAAGGCATCTGTTCTTTTCCTGGGCTGGTGTGGTCAGTGTTAGCCTAAAACCAAGTTAGTGATCTTCATTATAGTACAGAATACACCAGAAAACAGTTGGGGGGCAGGGGAGGCATCAGAAGGATGGTTCTCCCACTGCCTTCCTATCATAAAACTCAAAATAGTGAGTAGTCTTCTCAGAACAACATGCAGCACCTCCAAACCATCATTTACAGTTGGGTAACTTGCCCACTATGCAAGGTACTGCACATCTCTTGGGACAAGCAATACATGTTCCAAATGGTTTACAATCCAAGAGAAGAGGATTTGTCCTCCTACATCCTAACATGTAGGAGGACAAACAGAAAATTAGGCAGTCCAGCTATAATCCTACTAGTATGGACAACACAAACAAGTAGAGACAATCACAACAATCTGTCTTGTTGTGAAGTTTATGTGTCTGACTTCTGTTAAATATTAGTCGCATGTGACATTTTCTAATGGTAAAAGTGTTGCAAGATACAGGAATGCAAGATTTTTTTTTTTTTTTTTTCCAGGAAGCTGTTCTAAAATACTTGCCAAAAATCTACACATGTGATGCTTTCATGTAACAAATGAGTATATTTGTTAAAATATTCAGGATGATCTTCCCATCACAACAGAACAGATTTCATTAGTCCTGAAAGCAGTTCCGTATTCATTGAGTTAGCCCCACACCTCACTTCCATACAGGGCACTCCTTAATGAATTCCCTTTCCAGTAAGACGCTTGTTCTTTAATGATTTGCCACATGAACCACTCTCAGAGGTTCAGGCCTCTGGCAATTTGGAGGACATCACCAGACTCCTATTCCATTGCAATGATTGCTAGCAGGAAAAAAAAAAAGGATTAACATAAGCATGATCATCTAAACTGTTGTCATCAAAAAATGTGAACAATCTGTCTGAAGAGAGCAGAGAGGGTTTTGAACAGTGATCCAGCAGCCAGAGCATTTGGATTCTAGTGCGAGGTTCTACAGCTGTTATGGTACTGACATTCATCCATTCACCCAGAGCTCTGCAGTCTGCTCCTCCTTCTGAAAGAGAGAGGACAATTCTGTGCAAAATCTGCAGCTATTTTCCCCTCTTCATTGAGTTAGAAGATAGTCATTCAGTCAGCCCTTTTCCTAGGCTATAAAGGTGAAGTGGTACAACTTGTGGTAGTGCAGTCTTTCTTCTCAGGAGAAAACTCCCACCCATAGGCAGGGAAATTATGCTGGCTGAGAACTTAAGCTGTTCCACACTCAACAGTCAATGGCACTGATACAGCGGTGACAGAGCAGTTTACATTAGTTAAGATGTTCAGCCTGGTCTGTTCCTACATCTAAGCCAAGGACACTGAGCATAAGCATTCTGCTTTCCAGCGCAGATATGCAGTTTCTGAAAATTTTGGACATGCTTCAGAAAGTCCATGCATGTGGGTGTTTTTTTTGCAGATAGGCAGGTATCATATCCATGTATCTTTAAAAGGCACAACATAGAAGCTGAGTTTTGAGGCAAATAAGAAGGAAAAGAATTCATGAGCAGTGTTCTCAGTTGGGGTCTCTCAATATGTTATTTGGCTGCTGTTGTAGGAATTGCAGGGCCGTTCAACCTGCCAAGGGACATCCACAAGAGCTTTGGAAGGAAGGCAAGGTAGACAAAATCAGGGGCCTACAGAGTCAGTCCTGAAGCTGGGGAAACACTATCATATTTTCAGAGATTACTTCAATGCCAAGCATTGAATGACTTTCCCATCTTTTAAAAAAGCTGTGCCTAATGTGGCTGACTCCAAGTCAATTCTCGGGAAGCCTTCAGAGGAGTGTCTTTCAGTAAAGCTACTGCTCTTCCAATTATTTTTTTTTCATCAACCTCTAAGACTTAGAAATAAATGACAGTGTTAAAAAAAAAAAAATCTTTCTTAATATATAACTACAATGGAAAAAAAAATTCCCATTCTCTTGAGCAAAAGTTGTTCATCTCCTCTCTCAGAAGTAGCATATTTTGGGACAGAAAGACAGATTGAAACCCTAGAGGTATGAGTTCTGGGTAATAGAGAACACAAAGAATAAAATGAGGTACAGATGGCTTTAATAACAGCTTTTTCCCTGGGGTACGCAGACAATCCCTACAATGCCATTACAGACCTTACAAGTACATGGCCACCCTATTCTAAGGACCAGGCTCTTCTAAAGCGTGTTTCTATCCTCTTGTTGTACTTCACCACGTGTGACTTTTGACTGAAAAGCCACACATTGTATCTTCCCAGAATAAGATGGCAACAGGGAGGCAGTCTCACAGGCCATACAGCACTTGCAAGGGGTGCCAAGCCAGATGACATTTGCTGCAAGACATTGTTATAATGCTGTTTTATAACACTTTATGTAAGTGTTTCATTGAAAGGTAATCCTGTGAGATAAGGCAAGATCTTGGTGCACTGAAGTCTAAGGCAGAACTAGATTTACTTCAAGAGGTCCCAACAGTTTATGCCACACATTTTCAGTTCTTGTCATATCTTCTTTGTTTTTTTTTTTTTCCAGTGATATCATCAAAATCTTCTGATGATCCTACTTTCAAGAAAAATCATGAAGCCTGGAAGTTTTTTGAAGGTAAAGGTACATGCGGCTACTACTAGTTGTACATATGATGTTACTTTAGTTCAGTGCTACAGTACAACTAAAGCGCTCCAGTCGTGACAAATTTTGCTAGTTCCTGTGCAAGCTCAGGTCTTGCCCAAGAAAGCATCTCACAGAGTACAAGAGGTGCTGGAGAAAAGAGAATGGAAGGCTCCAGTTTCAGTTTCTCATACATTTGTTATGGTCGTTAGGAGAACAACCTGTGCCTGGCTAATCACACAGTAAAAATAAACCCCTCACCCAGGAAGGTGCTGAGTGTCTGAAGAGGTACCAAGCACTCTGCACTCCCAGAGCCTTACAAACCGCTCACCAGCCATGCACTGCGCTGCCAGAGCAGCCTAAAGCTCCCTGCAGTTTGAAGGCAAGCAGTATTTTCTGCATAGATTAGTGAACGACTGTTCTAGGAGACTGAAATCCAGGATTCGCAGGCAGTTGGGATTCCAGTCTGGAATCTGGAAACTCCCCCAATCCCGTCGCCAGTGAAGCACCAGCACGGCATTCGCAGCCGGTCTGCTGTGCTGCCTGCCAGGCAGTCCTGCTCGCGCGCAGGCTGGCCTCGGTTCGCTGGGGAGCCTTACTGTTCAAACCACACTTTACAAACTGTGTTGTTGTACTGTGTAAGGGGAACGAAGCACAGAAGTGCGGGTCGGGAGTTTAGCTCCAGCAATGCTATTTACTACAAGAACACTTGACCTCTGAGGCTTAGTTTCCTCTCTGTGAAGCAGGAAAGAAGCCAATATACCTCCCCGAGGACATTTCAGGATATTAATGGGTAGAGCATCCTTAAAGTACTCTATTTAAAAGTTCTAGTAAAAGCAGAAATAAGTCATTAAAGATTTCTTCTCCTTCTCAACAAAATACTACATCTTGATCTGCCATGGTACGCTCCTGTCAGCTCCAGTGAGAATGTGTTATGGCACCTGAGTAAAAGCCATAAAGGGAGACGTAGGCAGTAGATTGAAAAATAAAAACAAAACAACCACACAAAAATTTCAAGCCAGGGCTGCCACCAGAAGCAGCAATCACAGACTTTCTTCCTTCTTCCTCAGCCTCTCAACACTCCTCCCTCCCCCTTTTTTTTTTTTTTTTCCTTTTTTAAACCATACTTGTTTAAACCAGCTGTTTGAACTGGGAAATAGGCCAACTGAAGTCCCTTTGGTTGGTTGCCCCACCAAAAAGGAAAGAGAAAAAAGGAAAGAGAAAAAACCCTAAAACAGCCCTCTCCTCCCTCCTGAAAGTGAGACCTTGTAACTACACTTGTTTGCATTTATGGAGACTTCAACTAAATTTTAAATTAAGCAGTATAGTGTATGAGAGTTTCAAGAGTGTTAAGTAACTTCTGAGCTGTTACCCTAAATCTTTTGGGTCAGGCTCCATTTAGATCTTGTAGGCATAACTTTTTTCTGTCCTGTAAGCCATGAAGCATACAGCTGCAACACTGATCACCACCTGTGCTTTGCTTTCAGATTTGTACGTGTATGCAGTCTTTGTGTGTTCAGTAGGAATCATCAGTGTCCTCCTTTTTACACTTGTCATTCTCTGTCAGTCACTCCTGAACAAGAGGAGATCCACAGGTGAGTGAAATGTCATTCTTTTTGACTGCAAGGCCTTTACCAAAGAGGGAGACGGGGAGAAGGAGAATGCAGGAAATGCAGGGAAGACAAATATCTCCTTGCCTTAATAAAAACAAACAAAAAAATATTGGTAGAAAAGACCGTTTCTGCCAGCAAAACTAGAACAAATGCATTTTTCTCCCTTTGAATAACTATTTCACTTTAAATTTGCTTTGGACTTTTCAATATCTTTCAGCTTTGCATAAACATAAACTGAATGTTGTTTGAACTTCTTTCAAAGACGACCAAATGCTGTATCATTAAATTGCTAACATTTTGCATGAGTGACATTTCTGCAGACATTTAGAGGGGTTTCAAAGCAGTCTTATTCTGTTCTGTTTTATTCTCCTTTCCTCACTAGCTATCAATATTCCTGGGAATATGGGGGCTGTTATTAGCATACTCTCATTTGTAGCATTCTTTGAAACTAAATCATCATTTCATCATTCAGATCTGCCTTTTCCTAATAATCTTTCAAGGTCAAGGATTACTGTTTCATTCTTCTCTTCCTCAGAGAGGGTTTCTCAAAGAAGCTACATCTGCATGAAAGCAGCCCTGTTGCACAAAAGTGCTATTTCAGATCTGTGGAGCAGTCAGTGAAGACTCTACTTCCATTTTGGCTTAAGAGTGTTTTATTTAGAGATCTCACACAAGCTGTGAGGATGAGACACCAGCATGCTTAGCAGCCATCATGTTAGAGGATAGTGTAAAAGGGCCATGTCTGAACAGAAGCTTTCAGAAAGTTTGATTAGTGATTTGTCCTATTAATGACAGGAGAGAATCACGACTTCGCTGCCTCTTCAGCACTACACACATACCACGAAGAGTGACTCAGATACACGAGAAGAAGACATGTAAACCAAAAATAGATGTGTACAGAAGTCCTTGCCTGACCACAAACACAATTCAGGCTGTGGCTCAGTCTTCCTGGTAGTGCGTTCGGGAGAGTAACTCTGATTCTAACTGAGCCCAGCAACTCTGCTTGCCAAGAGGAAGGAATGAGATCAATGTTATTCTTCCTACCCTGTTAAGTGATGACAAAGGTTTTGTGCCAAGGGAGTACCCACACTTAAGTATGTTGGTCATGGTGAGTCACCCTGAAGCCACAAGCACTAGACACGCTGATGTATCCTGGTTTTTCTTTAGCAGACATCGGGCTAGATTTTACTTCTGGTTTTGATGATTTGTGCTAGTGTAAGCATATGAGCAGCTTGGAGAAAAGACCCCTTTACATTGCGCCAACACCAGTTAAATATAGAAATAATATAGAATACAATATACAATAAGTATATACAACAGAGAAAAAGTAATTTCTTCTGAGCGGCTAAATCCTTTCTTCACTACCCTAATATCTGAATAATTGCAGGCTTCACCCAATTTTTATTTAGATTTTGAACATTATCAAGTAAACATTGGCAGCATTAAACTTATGGATTCAATGGAAATAAAAGAGAATAAAGCTCAGCAGAGAGACACTTGGTATACAACAGATAAGATTTTCAGGCAAGCCTTTCAGCTAGGTCCACTTGATCAGAGTATTTTCCAGAGCCACATTAATTGTCTCAGCACTCAGTAAAGCATCAGGGGATTAAATTTTTAAAGCAGCAGTGGAATAAACATCAGTGATGGACACAGTCTCCACCAGCTTCATACTGCTTTTTCTCCCCATGGCCACTGGGCCATGGCAGCAAGCTCAGCCCTGAGGGTCTGCCCCTGGGAGCAGCAGTTCCCGGGGGGTGTTTTCTCCACTCAGCTGTATGGGCACAGGGCACAAAGAGCCCCCTCCTCCCTTAATACTCTTCTGCACCCCCCACAGGCACCTTCCAGGGGTTAGGGTCTGACCACAAGATCCCCACCCTGCCAGCCAACAGCAGTGCTCTCTCATTCAGACTGTTAGGCATCTTTCTTCAAAAAGCATTATCTTACCTCTTCTCCATCCTCGGCACTCTGCAGCTCCGTCCTGGGCCGGACTAGGCAGATCCCAGTATTCACGTGAAAAGAGCCAGCAGGGAAATCATGAGGCCCATCCTGCCTTGAAGAAGAGAGGAAAGACAGGAACAGCAAATCAGTCCTCCCTCTGCATCACGCCACACCTCCACATGGGCTCCAGGCACAGCCTTCTTCCACCTTCAGTGCGGTAGTTGCAGCATCATCTTCCTCAGAGATCCTTCAGGAGAAGCCTGGCTCTGCTCTTCCCCTTGAGACCAGGTCAGGGGCCCAGGACAACAAAAACTACCTCTTTACCTCACCTTACTGGGCAAATTTCCATCCAGGCTTCTCCCTGAACCTCTCCAGTCACCCCACCCCTGTCACAGGCACACCACAGCTCCCTCCACTCTCCCACCACTCCCGTTTCCACGCCCAGTACCTCAGCCCTAACACCACAAGCAGAGAAGGGCAAGGGAAGGGAGGATAGGCTAAAATAAGACATGAGCATACCCCTAACGCCCAAAGGGTCAGGCCTACAGTTCTGTACATCTAAAAAGGCCAGACAGACAGATGGAAGCACTGCCTTTGCTGGCTTAGACATGGCTCCTGTGTTAGCCCCAGTCCCGAGGGCTCTCAGCTCCCCTCTCCTTCGGACTAAAATGCACTCCCCTAGGAGCTGTGTAGCTTCCTTAGAACGGGAGAATTTAGGTAAGACCAAATGTGAAAACTTTCCTGTGAAGAAGGGCACAATCATGTAAGCGCATTGTCGTCTGGTTTTCATGGCCTTTCAAAGAATGGAGGACATGAGGGAGGGGGGTGTCTTTGTTGTATTTAACTTCGCGTCATGGCCCAGGGATGCACCCTCTTTTCTCCTCGAGAAATAAGTTGGCAGTAGGTCAGAGCCGGAGCCTCTCCTGCCCGCACGTCTCCACGCTCGGCACGCGGCACAGCCCAGAGCCCACTAAAGCCACAGAAGAGCATCTTAATAACCCTGGCTCCTCAAAGGCTGCGGGGTGCGGGGGACGGCCCTGGCGTGGGGTTACTGATTCAAAGGAATATGAAGCAGAAGGATTTAGGCAGCTCACACACACAGCTGTCAGAGACAGGAGAGCGGCTGGGCTGGACCTCTGATCCCATCCCAGGAGGCAATCCCTTTACGCCTGAGGCCGCAGCCTAGCTTACATTAGGAGCGGCAGTGGCTCCTGTGGGTGAATAGTTTATTTCAGGCTTCTGGAAATAAATAGAGGCACCACAAGAGAAATGAAAGTCTTCAAAGTAAAATTACTAGCCTGATATGCTTTTCCTTAGCAAGCTGTCTTTTGGCTGGGCTGACCACTAGAATGTGTGTTGCCCAGCACTTCCACAGCAGATTTTTGATGTTGTTTGATACATTCCCCTCTCCCAAGCCTACCTACGTTTTTGAGTTCAGACTACATTTTAAGGCACAATAAAAATGTATGGTGACGATTAGCCGCTCTCCCAGTATAACAGCCTGGCATCTCCACAGTCTCAGGAAGAGAGGTCTATCTGCAGTGTCCATTTGTGACTCGTAAACTGTATTGGTGTGAAGCCACATTTTCTTTCTTTTCTTTTCTTTAACAGTGAAGCATTACCTGGTGAAATGCCCCCAGAACAGGTAGGAGATTACACTTCTCTTTACTATAACCCAAGGCAGCAGTTTGGGTTTTGTTTTGCTATGTACACTGAAGAAGATGAGTAATGTTTTCCAAAATGCCTGCAGGAGAATAAAGGGTCCCAGGTCCCTGACTCACGAACATGCTTGCAAGCCAACATCTGCTGTGCATGATAGGGAGATCTACAGGGCTGTCTAGCTGTAGGTCCTGCAGGTGCTTCAAGTGGCAAGCCTTTCCTTGAGGGTCTGCGTTGCTTTCCGGAGAAGCCTGCTTTCATCCTGTGTGGCTTTCTAGGGTTCCCCATGACTTAAACCATCCATGTACATAAACTAAACCACAATGTTACCCAGTGATTCCCACACCCAGGAACAGGGAGTGGGGCTCAAAAGCAAATTTTCAAGGCCCACAGTCTGTTCCCAGCTGAAGACTCCAAGTGATGGGAAAAATTCTACTTCTTCTGCTGTCATTAATCACTGTCCCATTAAATACCACCAACTGCCAAATGTTTTTGATTGCGTGGTGCTATAAAACTGATTTCCATCGTATGATTTTCCTGAGATATAAATTGTGCTGGAACTACAGTAAAAAAAAAAAAGATGACAGAAGTATTTTACAAACAAAAAAAGAGTAAAGAGGTGTGCCTCACAACAACACAGAGGAACAGCTGTTTCCCAGTTTCCAGTGACATCAAACATGTGTTTTTAGCCTTGTAGTTTAAATCCAGTATCACTTGGTATCACAGATACTATTTCTCATGGTATCTTTTTAGGTACTATGAGATCCAATGCCAAGTATAGCATACCCTCAATCCTCAAACAGTGTAATTTTTAGTGCATTCTCATGGGATTATGATTGTATTCAATTTAACTGACACTTGGATGTTTAGTGAAGTCACAACAAAGCAACAGAGATTTCAGGAGAGGCCAACACAAACTGAAACTTCCATGTTATTCATGGAAAGATCTTTGTTCTGTGACCCTGACCAGCCATTGCACCACACCAAAAATTTACAAGGACAGCTCAGCAGTTTTCATTTTTCCCTGGATGTTTTCTATTTCCCCTTCTTTATTAACTGCTGGGACAAAGTTAGAATTACAAAAACAAAAAAAAAAAAAGGGGGGAGGAAATCGAAGTAGTTTGGCAGATCACACAAGAAGAGGAGAAAAATGAGACCCAACTGAAAAGATGACTGAAAAACGGAGCATGGCAGTCAAGACTCATACTACAGAATCTGCCACTTTGGGAATAGATGTAGTAGTGATACTACTGCAAACACTGAACTTAGGAGGCTGAATAGCAGGGGGAAAGCAAGCCAACATGATTTCTTCACTGTAAAGTGGAGTCTCCAGAAATGAAAGAAAAGCATGCCTCTATATGGATAAAAATAAAATTTCTTGTGACAAGATATGTCAATGAAAGCCCTGATCCCACAAATGCACGTCTGAAGTGCATTGACTTCAGGGCTTTAAATTTAAATAGCTGTGAAAGTGTTACCAGTATCATCATTTTTGTTGTGTTTCACACTTGGTACCATTTATTTTCCACCCTCTGCTCAAAACACAAACCATTAATTCCTTTGAACTCATTTCTCTTCACCTGTGCATTCCTTGCCTTAGAACTTAATTCAACATATTTAAACCCAAAACCCAGTGTCTAAATATCTACTAGGCCAAACTGATGACCTAAATTGCATGAGATTCCTGACAGTCAAAATGATTACGCTGTGCAAAACTCAGCCTTGATTACAGAGGCTTAGCTCCAACTCCCTTAGTGATATTTCAAACTCAGAGCAGAATTCAGTGTCAAAATTACATTAATAGTCCAGTGTCTAAGAAATGTCTGTACTCCCACTGCAGTAATACCTGAGCATCTTAAAATATTTTATGTCTTGACATCATAATGGTGTTTTTACTTAATTAGATTCTGAAGCACAAAGGGCTAAGTGATTTGCCCCAGGTCTCACAAAATGGCCTTGGTAGAAAAGAAAATTAAATCCAGATTTCTTGAGTAGAACAAAGCAAATGTTTGGGTTTTGGTTTGCTACTTGACCAATAACAAATCAAGGAAAAAAAAATGAGTTAACCAAAAACCATTTCTTTCCCACATTTAAAAAATAAATATCTAAATAAAAAGCACAGTTATTTTGGGTTTTCCAAACCACCTAATTCTATTTTTTTGGGGTTTTCTTTTCTTTAAATATCCTCTTTGCTATTATCTTCCCTGTTATTAGCTCATTTTGTCAGTTTTCAGATCCAGAAACCCCCAGGAGGTGTAGCTTTGAAAACAGGAATTCTTTTTTCTCTCTTCTATTTATTTGTGTTGGCCCGAACTCTCAAGTCCTTCAGTGACTGCTCTTCTGGAGACAAGTGCTTTGGGGTGAAAAAAGCGGTCGCCTCAGCAAGCTGTCCGTCTCATACCTTGGTTCCACAGTGCCGATCTAATGGCGTAGGAGCAGGTTCTTCCAGACTGAACCAGAACGAAGCACCCAGTCCTCCCCGGCACCTTCTCACACACCTCCCCTAATAGGAAAATATCAAAGCAACTCCCAGTTCACTGGGGTGAATTTTTTGCCATCCCCCTGCAGACAAGTGGGAATAGCCGACCTGTACAACCACGGGAAAGGTCCCACATCCTTGACTCTAATAAGGAGAGTAAAGCCCAAAATAGCAGTAGTTGGGACAGTACGTTCCAGAAATACCACCTGTGACCTCCAGGAAACTGCTGTCCCGGTGCCGTGATTTTTAGACACCTTCCACATTTTTTTTTTCCCCAAATTCCTGTCTTTTTCTTGCTCTCTAAAAACTCATTGGATCAAGAAATGCACAATGTGACACTGTTGAAATAGAAGCCAGGAGGCGGGAGGAGGAATTGTAGATAAAAAACTAACTTTCCTTTCAGACATAGAACAAGACAAGCTCACAAAGAGGCAGTGTTTCAGAGCCAGGGAGTCTTTTCTGAGCCTCCTTGTTTGGTTTGAGGAGCTCAGTTCTAAGACAGCAAGTGTGGTTATTGTATCTCCCAGAATTAGTTAACCCTGTATGGCCCTGGTATTTAAAAGAAAAGTGTAAGCTACAAATACATTTCCCTGTAGCTTCACTTTTTCAGTAGCAGAGCAGGAACAATAACTAATGCAACAAATTGACACTAAGCCTTTTCATATATAGTGCTTAAAGCAGCTGTATCGCAATGATAGTATCTTTAAGCTACACATCTGCCTTAATGACCTTGGATTATTAAAAGAAAAACCATTAAAAAATCGTTCTTGTCCCTTTTTTGGTAATCTTTGTCCTTTGCAATTTGCTGTGTTTGGGCAATGGAGCTAGGCAGGACAGTTTCATTTCCTGCTGGTTTTAAACAATTTCATGTTTTGATTTTAATACAGAAACAAATGGTTTTTGTGGGATAGGTTTACAATAGTGCAGGCAGACCTAGAAGTTATTTTAATACAACCCTCAGTTTACGTAATTGATGTGATTTATTTATAAATTATGAAAATATTTTACCTTTTAAACACTTTGAAAAAAAGATTGGCAGCAAACCTATGTTTCGGACTGAGTACGTGGAACGGAACTCAGGAAAATCAGGAAACCAGAAGCTTTTTGTAATCTATGTAAGTGTAAATCCAGAGCGATTTTACCAACGGTAGTGACAGTCATTTGGATTTACAGGTGTGTAAAATGATAATGTCTGTTATTTTGTTATTCTTGCGTGGGCAATAGCTGAGACGTCTTAACTTTCATTAAGACTTTGGCCTGATTCGAATATTTTATTCTATTAATAGAAAAAGAATATTTCATTATGCAAAAGAACCTGGAGAGAACAGCACCTTGGGACAAATGATTTAAAATTCAGTGAATTCAGTGTTGTCAGGGTTATGACTATGGAGACCCTGGTTGGATCCCATCGTGTGGTGTAACTCACCAGCACAGAACAGAAGGGTCTCCACGACCGTACGGTGTTAATCTTTCCCGGGGCGAGCCCATGGTCAGATGCACCTGAGCAACAACTGCTTACCGAGTCACCTCCACCACCACAGTCACCATAACTAACTGCTATACGCTCTCCTCCCACCCCAGCTGCAAGTTAAGGTTTCTTTCATTACCAATTAATCCAACAGAATTTTATTTGACGTTAGTTGCGAGCCAGGACCGCCTGCACAGTCAGTTACCACAGCTCAGCTGGCACATGGTGACAATCGCTGCAACCTGACGGCATATCCAAACCCGAAATATTCAAAGCAGGATTTACGACCTCAGGCTTTGGGAGATGCTAAGGGTAAAACCCCCTGACTTAGAGGAGGTTAAACTGTAATAGTACAAACACAGAAGCCGTCTGGGACTGGAGTCTGCTTGCAATGTAGCTTGTACTCTTCCCTCATACCTACTAGTGCTTTTTCAGCACAGACGTACTGGAGAATCCCTGAGTTTAGAGACTGGGGCACAGTTTCTTCATTTTATATGCACTGAGCGCACTGGCCTCTTTTAAGAATCTAGCTTTTTCAAAGGTGGGTTTGTGAGCTGTCTGAAGACACGCTGCATGCCCTCCTGGCCTGCTGGCCACTCTGCCAGTCTTGGCCCAGGAACCGCATCGAAGATTTTCCTTTGCCGTAGGTCTCCGTGTGAGTTTATGCAAGTTGCCTAACCCATCTGCGCCTCTGTCCCTCAAGGACAGATGGGTACAAGCTCATCCTGGGTGCAGCAGTGGGGTCATACATGTTTTTAAGGAATAGGTGCTATGAAACATGTCTTGTTAAAACCTGACACTTTGCATTTTCTGCACCAGGACAGATCAGGCTCCTGAGTCTCTCAGCCAGGCTGTGTGGTTGAAAAAATGCAAGAGACAGGCATTTCCAACCCCTGTAGAAGGGTTTTCAGTATATCCCCAGGTCAAAATCCAAGTTTTTGAGCAGGGGCTCTCACAAGTGGAAGGTAACCTGTTAGTGGAAGGTAACGTGATTGTATTAATTCACTGGGACAAGCTGTCTTTCCCTCCATTGCCCTCACTTTTCCTCACGTACGGGTCTCTATTTTGCAGCTCAGGGGAAACAGTTACCAGCGTGACAAGCCTGTCCCCTCTACAGCCAAAGAAGGTAAAGAAAAAAAAAGAGAAAATGAAAGTGGAGCAGCCACCAGCCATCCCAGCAAAAGGTATGAAAACAGAGAGGCAGAGGTATTTCAGTTCCCAAGCACAGCCATGGAGGGACAGCAGAGCAGGGACGTCAGGACTCCGGCACCCCGCCACTGGCTGTGCCTGTGGGGTGACCTGCGCTTGCTCCCATCACTGGGGGAAGGAACGGCCCGTGCCTGCTGCTGGGACCAGGCTCTCACCTTCCCGCAGCTTTAGCTATTGAAAAACTAGTCACTGAGTCCAGGCAAGTCAAGCAAGCTGAGCGGCTAAAGATCAACCTCTTGGGGAGAGGTTCTCACTTCCAGAGAACAGCTGTGATTGCCTCCAGGGCCAATCACACAAACTCTTGGGCGTACTTTCTGAACGCTGCTGCCAGCGCTGAGCCCCTGGGAGAGAGCAGGGAAAGGACGCGAAGGTTTACGGTGCGTTAGATCACAAGTGACCAGATCTCAAGAGGTGTATTCGCTCTGGCTTCTGCACACAGACAGCATGATTTGCATATCACATTCTTTAATCTTACGAATTGTTCTAATTCATAAGCCCTATGTTTCGTTGTAAAATGTTGCCTGAAATACAGTTAAACTCTGGTATAAGTACCTGTATTTGCTTGTAATCTGCTACTAATCTGTAATTTATAAATTGCTAATGCATATACTAAAAATGACAGCGGATGATGATAATATGAAACGATCCCTTAATATTTATTTCCATAGCTCCAATAGCCAATAATTTTCCTAAGCCCAAGCTCTTGAAACCTCAAAGAAAATTGATCCTGGTAAGTAATTTTCTATTACATTATTTTCTCCATATTCTTCTCTCTCAATACAATTGCTGTAATGTTGCCAGAACTCTAGGTTCAGAAACTATAAATTGGCTCAAAAATCGTACAAGTCCTTTTTTTTAAAGTAATACTTTTTCAAGAGATGAATTGTCGCGGCTCTTTTCATTTTTGAGCATTAGGTTACACTGGATTATGTTTTTCAGCTTTCTAGCAGTCATCGTGTCTACAAATTTAGCCTGTTCTTAAAAGAAACCTGCTATTGATTCTCACATGCTTCTGGCAGCTGGTGCTTTGGAAAAATACCAGTTACTGACAGAATCACAGCCACACTGGTCACACTGCTTCTGAGATTTTTCAAGTCAGAAACGAGGGACCTGTTTCTGCCCTACAGTGATGTAAGTCAGGAATGAGATGTATGTATATAGCTCATATTAAGCAAAAGAAAACCTCCTACGGCAGTTTCTGTTGGTTATGAGTTTCTGTATGAAGAAAACCCTGCAGAATTTGCCAGACAAAATCAAACAGATGTTTCTCTACTTTAGTAACAAAGCAATACCTGGACAAGACACGTGGGGTAATGGACAGAGAGTTTTATACCAGCTATTTTCCGCTGCCTATATAAAAAAGGTGGTCTGCTAGGCTCCTTGTATAGTTAATAGAAAGAGAGATGAGTTAGAGTAGGAGCCTGATGTTCCTACTAATTCAGGCTAGATGCCCTGAATTGCCTTTTGGGGTTCCAAGCTGCTAGGTTGAGACCTGGCACTGACTGCTCCCACAAGGAAGGTGCTAGCAAGGACTTCTCCTGGTAGTCTTCACGTTCCCTTGCAGTCATTGCAGCTAAACACCAAGACTGGGGCTATACTCTTTCCTAGGCTTGGAAACAGGCTCTCTGCTTTCTCACTCTCTCGTACTCCCAAACTGCAATAGAGGCAGGCCAGAGTGACTAACTCCCTAACTTAGGCGAAGGTGGGTGCCTAAAGTTAGGCCATGCGAACAACCTGAACGACTCTGTGATGGCTTCACTTTCAGATGTGGGTTAGAATTGGGAACCTTCCCACCAGTTGTCAGTAAATACCCTCTGGCCTTTTAAGCGTGGTCAGTGTACAACCCATGATACCTGGGCATAATGCCAGGTGACTTCAGAACATCACAGCTAAAATCTTAGGTGGTACTGCTGCTTGGATATGGAGCTCATCTCTTCTCTGTTGGCGCTGCAGGGATCGCACCTTGGCCAGGCTTTGCTCATACAGGTCAGGTTTCAGTAGAGGAAGAGGTAGAGTTTTAAGAGTCCATGAAAAAACCTTGACATCCACGTAGATAGGTTTGGCCTGACGCAATTATGCTGAGAGGACAAGGACACAGACGAGAGCACTTGGCATCAGGGGATGACAGCCAGCCTTTGCTGCGCACGCTGCATTAAACACTGTGCCCAGGCGCACGGCTACGTCAGAAATCAGTTAGTCTTTAGCCCTCTGAGGAAAAACTCTCATCAGTTCAAGCACTCCGACTCTTCCTGCAGGTCAATAAAGCACATCAACACATGCTGAACTTGAGGTAAATCTGTTTCCAGATGCTTTTTCTTTCTGGAATAAATCCAAGGACGTGGGCCACAAATAGCTGTTTGCTCTTCCCTTCCTGCTATGCAACCCCAGTCAAGGTTCAAACTGTTTGGAGGTGAGCAGCAATAAAGTCTTTTCAGACAATGCCATCAGCTTTGTCGTCCCCAGCGTGACTGAGGACGCCCACGCTGCATGCAGCCAGCAGGCTCAGCTTTCATGTCTTGCTGTTGGACTCGAGCCTGGCTGTGCTCTTTTCTCTTTCACATTTCACCTCAGAGCGCACCTGGAGAGGCATTGCAGCCTGCGGAAAACCCATGATCTATGGATGTGAGTTAGTTTTAAGTAAAAAAGTAATCCAAAAAATATTATCCAAAGGATTTTCAAGACCCAAACACACCTAGCAATACTTTAAAGGGCAAAGTAAACTACACCCAAGTCAATACGTAAGACACATTCAGAAACTGGGCAGGATGCTCCCCAGAGCTGTTTCCCATTTCTGTTCCTCTTGCTTCCCTTTACAACACAGTTGGTTTTAAACCTCTATGTTTTAGCATTTTCAGAAAAAAGGAAAAAAAAAATCAAATTTTTCTGCTCTTAAATGATTTTTCAGTGAGGCAGTTAAACTAATTGAAGTAAAAGAAGTTTGAACAAAGATACAAAATATTAATAATTACAGAGAAAAAGACATCAAATTAATTTAAATGAAACTTTTAATTTATTTGCAGCAAACTTTCCTCTCCATTTTTTTTTAATTCTCAAAAATTTCTCAGATTTTAAATTTTCAATCTGCTGTAGGGGAAAAAAGTATCATTGTCATCCTGTCAAATCTCTGCAGGATAAAAGAATTTTTTCTTTCCAACTATAACTATTGCACAGCTGGAGTCTGCACTGCATCTTTTTTCACGGCACATAGTTATTAGGTAATTGTCACTGCAAAGACAGACTCAAACGGATGCATTTCTGGACAGCCTGCAGCTTCCCTGTGCAGCCCAAGGAAGGTACCACACTGGGGCACCGGGAGAATATTCTAGAAAACCTCAGCAAACAAGCTAGCATACAAGAGAACATTACAAAGTAGTTCCAGTGTTTTGGGAAATTTTTTGTAATAACCTAAATACCAACAAAATTATTTCCAGAGGACATGTTCTTCTGGTTTCTTGAAAGATGTTTATAATAAACTAGAGAATTCCTTTTGTTGTTAACATGCTAGAGTGGGTTGCAATATAGTTTTACAAGAATACAATAACCTGGATAAAATATGGACATAATCTCAATGAAAATTAAAAAAAAGAGAGAGAAAGCCTAATATCATGTTCAATTGTACAGCCTTCAGTAAAGCCTTTTAAAAACTCTGCTTAAGTCATATTGTTTTTGCTTTAGCCAGAAAAACAATTCTATGTTCCCCCAGTTGCAAAAATATTCCCCATCAGTGTCATTCTCTATTAGCATCAATGAGAAATGTGTACAGATCAAAGGAAATAGAGATGCTGAAATGCAAAAAGGGATGGTTTTTATAGCATGCAAGAAGCACAGAGAGTCATTAGGAAGAAGAACATTCTAGGGGCCCACAGATTCTGTCCTCTAAGGGCTGTTCTGTTATAGCCTTAAGTACTTAGGCCTTTGAGTTGGTACAGATAAATCTTGTACTTCCTCAACCAAATTTTCTGGTAAGCCTTTCATTGCCTCCTGGAGATTAGTTGTCATAGCCCAGGAGTGTTAGTTATAGAACATCATCTAAATGAAAAGGTCTCAGTGTCTTTTCATGACGGTTTGCACCACCAAGCTTAGGAGCTCTTCTGTGATTCACTGGAGCCAATGGAAAGGACATGACTTCAGGTTAGACCAAACCCTGCAATCTTTACTTATGCAAGATTTTTGTTGTCATCATCATTTTCGCACTAAATTTTAAGGGGACAAATAGCTGCATAAATAAGACAGGATATAGGGAATCTTCCCCATTCTGCCGCCGATTTATGTGGCCTCTGCCAAGTCATATAATCATCCCAATTTGAAATCAGATAAATATATTCTGTATTACAGATGATCCCCTTGGGCTTAGTTCTTCAAACACATTGTACTTGTAAAGCACACAGTACGTAAGAGCTGGCTTCCGCTGTTCCTACACTGACTAGCCTCTTGCATAACCTCTTCACTGGAGTGTATCTGGCTTTCTCTTGTTCCCCACCACGGATTAGATATTGGTCCTGTGTGAGTTCGGAAGCAGAGTGCTTTCAGTGACCATAGCTGAGGTATTTAAGAGAAGCATCCTGCTACCTACAGCTCATACAGCATAGACAGCATTGTTTATCCTAGCATGGATTGGACCACTGGTGGCCCAGCACTGAGATTTTCTTTTGATGATGATGATTTTTTACCCCAGCTTTTATATCAAAGCTACCTGAGAAACAGGAAGGGCTTATGGTTACCTAAGACTGGAAGTAATTCTGTTAACTTTGAATGAAAGCATCATCTTTGCACTCATTCTGCTTGCCTGCCTTTTTCAGGCACCACTTAGATATTTTATACTGAGATTTACGAACCAGCTCAGAGATCTGGATTCCCAGTTTTAACAGAAGTGAGAAGCTCAGGTTTCTTTTTGCAGCTTTGAAAATCCCATCCTTATCTACCATTATAGGCCAAGTGCTGACAATGTGCTGAGTGCCAGGCAGTGCAGGTCAGGACCGTCCCTGTGCTGAAAGAGCTTACTTTGTAATGAGTAACATGTCTGAAAGCCTGGAATTTGCAAACATTCATTCAAAGGACAGCTTCCCGGCTCCTGCCATGTCTACAAGGCAGAAGGGTGTTGTTTTGAGCAGGAACTTGACGTTGGTTTGATACCTGTGGAACTGAGAAGGCTGTGACTTGATCTCATCATCTGCATGTACTCAGCAAAATTAAGCCTTTAGCATTACACATTTAGCTGTGTTCTACATTGGTCTATACTCCTGAATCAAGCAATGAAGACAGGTGCTCCTAAAGTTGTCTGGAAGCTTAAGTTTCCTTCACCAGAAGAACCCTTTTGACATTTAGATTTCAGGATTCCATCTCCCATTGTACAAGAAACCAATCAAATACACTGTATATCAGAACCAGTGACCTTGGACTCCTTTTGGGAGAGGGTCTAGATGTAAGAGCTAATTATCTGCAGTCTGATTATCATGTCAGAGTCGTGAAATGTGAAGAGCTGCATTTGGTTTTTGCTTGCTGGGGAATTTGTGCATTCTGAGCTGCACTCCAGCCTGCTCTCCTGCAACTCACCACAACCTGGGAGCAAATTTACACATTGCAGGATTGCACTTGATGGATGGAGTTGATTTTTTTTCCTGTCGCCTTTTTCATCTTACAACTAAGCACTATGTCATTAAAACCAGTCTTACACCATATGCATCATTCTAGCTAGGAAAGGTAGGGTAGTCAGTTTTTTGCACAACTAGT